TATATATACATATATATATATATATATATATATATATATATATATATATAGTTCTTTATAACTACATTTTTATTGCAGGAGAGAGACCCTGTATTCATCGCGAGAGACTTCGTTTTCAGATTTCTTCGTGATGAAACTCCTCGCGACACTCTTCTCCATAGGACCCCAGGCAACAGTTTTTACTCGATAAAGGAAAACGACAAATTGACGCAAGTCAACTTCACCGTGGGATGTGGCAACATCACTCAGCGTATCAATCTCTCTTTCCTCCGCCTGGTTCTACAAGCAGTGGACATGCTCGAGTTATTGTCAAATTTTATCTCCAAAAGCAATGAATGGGAGCTGCCGCTGACATCTGGAGACCAAAGTTTGATGTCTCCTGGGGACCAAACTGACGGGGGTCCGCCGTTGAGGTCAGAAGTGCCCCATGCAGCTGCAAGGTGTTGGAGAATAATGTATCAAGTTGTAGACCTTTATTCGTCGTTACCACGCGAGGCCAAAAACAAGGGCTTTTTGAGGCGTAGCTCTCTTGGGAAAGTATTAGGAGGTAGTACATGATTCAAATATTCTAACTTTATCTTCTTTAGAGTTACACTTTCCTTGCAGTCTCTTTGCCTTTCTTACTTGATCGCTACACAGAATGCATAGTACCTTGCTGATCCATTACAGGACGCTTTTCACATGTGAGACCATTATTTGTTCTAGCTCCCGGAACAAGTTCTTTTCATAAATAAATAAGAGCCTCTCTTTGTTGCGAAAATGTGCACAGATATTTGTCCGCGGACGTTATCTGTTCTAAGATGCGAACAGTTTTCCAGAGCGAAGCACGAGGAAAACGCTTCGAGGAACAGATTATGTCCAAGGAAAATACACGAGCATATTTTCGCGCAAATTAGAGGCTATTTTGTTTTACTATCCTTCATATATTTTGCAACGCATGTGAAAAAATGTTTACGAGCAGCTTACTGTTTGCTGCGTAAGATTTTTTCTTTTGATTGTTCTCCGGTACGACTTAAGAACAAACAAATATTTCCTTTCTCTCTCAAATATTTCCCGCTCTCTCTTGGATTAGTGTTTTTTTAAAGGAAGACTTATCTTTGTGGACGTAAGGTTTGATAATTGGGGAATATCACTTGGGTGATATCCTCGGATATCCCCCAGTTTTAGCTGGAATTTTCGGTCACGTGATGTGTTTAGACCAATCGCGCGCGAGCAAAAATATTTTATGGATCATAAAAATAGTTATTTAATATTTTTCTTTATGCCTTGCTAGCTGGCAAACTATCGCCAGATAAGCCATGTGATGTCAAAATCGACATCGAAGACGGTCCGATAGAGGACGGTAAAAGGCGCCGTGCCCGCAGCCCAGGGAGTCCTGACAAGAGACGTTCAGCGGCCAGCCGCAGCACCACTGAAGCAACAACCATAACGGATCAGGAGGATGCGCAAAGTGTGATACCGCTGTCCACAGTGTTTGGTGTAGTGACTTTACCGCGTGTTAAACTGCTGGCCAGTATCGGCGGGCTCATACTGGAGACAGAGCTCAGAGAAATGAGTGTGTCGTTTTGTAAGAAGGAGAAGATGGAGAAAAGTTGTGAAGGTTCGCGTTTTTTTAACTCTTTTGGCTCTTGAACCAGGAAACTTTTTTGACATCCGTTCGTGGAAATAGTCCACGAAATTGACACGGCGTCCCTGAAAAGCAGTACTTTTGTTTTCATTTATTTTCATTCTAATAAGAAGTTAGTTCAGTTCGTTTAGATTAGGCTTTTAATCTTTATATATATTTTATAATGATTAAATAGTTTTAAGTTTTACATTAGTAGGTATATTGCTTGTATACGACTGAGTGGAATTTACCGTGTATCAATAAAGTGATCTATCTATCTATCTATCTATCTATCTAAGAATCTATCTATCTGTCTGTCTGTCTGTCTATCTATCTATCTGTCTGTCTGTCTGTCTATCTATCTATCTATCTGTCTGTCTGTCTGTCTGTCTGTCTGTCTATCTATCTATCTATCTATCTATCTTGCATTGGGACTAATGACACTAGCAGGAAAGCCTTCCTCTCCTCCCCTCCCCCCTCTTTCCTTTCCCCCTCCCCACCCTTTTCTTCCTCTCTTTGACATTAATTATTCCAACGTGTACTTCATTTTGTTGTCAATTTCAGGCCATGCCACGTCTTCCGTGACGGCTCATGTGGGAAAAACAAGAATGGATCTGAAAGAGACATCGAAGTATGCCACAGGGTAAGTTAGGAGTGTCACTTGAACATTTGTCATGAACCCTTCAACACCAAGAGTGACAAGCATCTAATTTTTCCTTACAATATCACCTAGGACCGTGGTGAGCTGCAATTTGTCTCGTTCTCATGCTCTATACTCTTCTGTCACGCAATCAAGTGAGGAGAAAGGTAACGCATTAGTGACGTTGGGAGTGGTTGACATCGATATCCCACAACACCCTGTTGCGTTACACTCAATGATGACGCGAAGTTCACGCACTATATCGCGACACATCTCAGAGATTCAAAGTCAAAGATCTGTCATAAGGTAAACTGATTCACAAGTTGAATCCAGCTTTTTCCTGTTGGTCAAGTCAGGGAAATTGGAAGTGGATAGATACCGAGAATGCCTGAAGGCCTCTTGAGATAGTGAAGTTGATTTGGGGAAGAAATGAATTTAAGAGCCAATGATTTCTTGTGTTTATCTTGTTTCTCTTGCAACTGCATGTAGGTGCGGAGGAAACGTGACTTTCAGCATGGTAATATTTTGTTAGGGAAAGTCTAGATTCAGTTCGTTGTGGTCACTGAGGGACATTTGGGGATTCTTCACTGCCGCCGCCAAATTGAACATTTCCATGTCTCAGAAGGTTCAGATACCCAGGCTCTTAACTGAAAAGGCACTCTTCGCTTTTTATATCAGATGACAGATAAGTTTAAGATTCGTGCGACGAGTCAAGATGCATTTGTAAAATAAATAAGATACAACTCATACTGTGTCTGGTTAAGAAACTATCGTTTAGTACACTAATAAACCCATAGCTGTTAAATATAGAAGCAGTACACCGCACAGTTTCTATCGGTTTAGTGGCGTAATAACCCACTCGGAATAAAGGGGAATAAGAGAAAATTTGGTGTTATCAACTGAGTTGATAATGCTAATTGGCCACCGTAAAGACTTTCTAAAGGTAGAGACTTACGGTGGCCATTTACGTTATCAATTTTGTTGATAAAATCAAATTATCCCGTAATACCCCCCCCCCCTTCCCACCCACGCAACACTACATTTTCTTCCGAAACTTACCTCTTTCAGAACACGAGATAGTTTGCTGATTACGAGCCGAAGGCGAGTTATCTACAAGTTTTGTTTCATTCTCTATGTATCCCGCGCTAGTTCTTCCATCGATAAGCTGATGAAATGTGCGGTCTATTGCTTATTTGAGAGAACTGAGGTAATATCGTCTTGTATTTGTATGAATTTAACAATCGTTGTCCTGATTTTAACGTGTAGATCAATGGCAAGTCTGGAGACTAGATCCCAGTCCCGCCTAATGAACCCCAGGCTTTCTGGTGTGCCGTCTGATTTCTCAAAGATCGCTCAGCTTGTGTCTCCGTCTTCTGTCAAGCCGTTTGCTCCATGGGATCGTGTAGACGGACCCTCGCCACTCCCCACAGTAGCTAGAATCTCTTTCACGTGTGTTCTGAAGGGATTTTGCCTCGGAGCCTCGCTGCTGCCTTCTCTTCGAGCAGAGTACAAGGTTAGGCAGTGTCTGTTTTGTCCACAGAATCTAGCCACAACTGAATTAGTCAAAACTCATGGAGTATATTTAACAAATGGACAGTGATTTAGCGCGGTCTGTTCTCTTATCGACAGCGATTTTCGTCAACACAATGGTCAAAATGTTGTGGACTCATGATTCTTTCAGTACGTGACACGTTGCGAGACACGTTGACGCGAGTATCGTTGTCTCGTGGTCTGCACTCTTATCTACAACTACAAATTGTCCAATCGTATTGCGACATTACTGCCAGTTGTGGTAAAAATGATTTTTTTAATTATTCTCTGTAGATTGGAAGAGTTAAAGGATCAGGTCGCACAGGCAAGAACAGCACTTTCAAGTTGTCCATGCCGGTTCACAATCTGAGTTTTACTTCCAAGGTAAATTGCTTTTGAAAAATTCCCAGTGAGAATTTTTAAAAGCAACATAAACGTATGTTTACCCATAAAGCCAGATGTTTTCCTTGTTTCCTCGATGAAGAAGCAACCTTGTATCTTACTGAGTTATTCTCGCAACCCTCGATCCTTAACACAGCAGTCAGACATCGGACATTCGCGAGGAGATAAATTCCGACCGGACCGTACACCAATTTCCCGCACAAAGTTTCAAAGGAAGACAAAAAAAAAAACAGCTGTCTCGCAAAATAAGCTTAAGATTGAAACGTTCAAATTAGTATGTAAAAGAAAACAAAAACATAGGAAAAAGGAAAACTCGAGACTTTTCGAACACAAAGCTTGTATAATTACTGGTCTCCCGTTGATTTATCATTCTGTTTTGAGCTTTACCAAAAACGTTATACACTTCTGAAACACCTTGACCTAGTGGCTTTTGTGGTTGTCTATAACACGTGTGAGATAAGATTACCTGGTTCTACAGCTTTAAGCACGCCACCTAGTCTTTATAGCGTTGGCACATACGCAGACGTTTGCCTGCCTCGTTAGGTCACTCTCAAATAGCTTTTGCTAGGCTCTCGGTCAGCGGAGAAAAGCTGAAAAACAGGCAAAAAGTAGCGAAAGTGCCGTTGTACTCCTATCACAAATCTAACCTTTCTGTATTACTCGACGACTGTTTTCCGTAAAGGTTCAGTCCCTGGATAATACAATCCCGCCAGCCACGGTTGTGGAACTCCCCCCAGTCCACGTGGAAGGTGAACTCATTTCCAAGCTTCCTCGGCCCGTCCGAGCCAAGGCAAGACCTCCGGAAACTGAGGAGAGCTTTCTCCGTCGTTCTTCATCTAAAAGCCATCTGTACGTATCAGCAGAAATCGGTGCCTTCCAACACAGCCTCACTACAGATCTGTTGAACCATCTTGTGTTTGTGCAGAAGAGCTTCATGAAGGTAAGTATGTTTTAACCATGCTTGATTTTCTAAGTGTTGTTATTCAGTTGTTATCCATGTTATACCTCTTTGCTTTTAATTAGTTATACAATACTTACAATAACATTACGGACATAACTTACAAGGCTAGTCTAGTTTGCACTGCTACCGTTTATACTTAACATGCATCACAATCAGCGGGACTGTTCTAATATTTTTTTAAAGTTTACAATTCTAGCATCGCTCACAAAAGTGACACAATAATAGCATTGTTAGAAGTAATTTGATTGACGATCATGGTAATAATGATAAAACTAAAACAGAAACGACTTATCCCCAAGCACTCGTGATCTATGAGCTATCATTTAGATTCATTTTAGTCTAGTAAACACTACTTAAAACGCTTACCTATATCAAGCATTGGCAAACGTTTTTATTTTAATTCTAAATTGAGTTTGACAACGTTTTTCTTCTCTTTCATCCCTTTGTGAACCATTTTGTTTTTCCTGGACGTTCCTTGATTTTGCTGTGTCAGTGTTTCTTTGAAAACAGTATTGTAACCGCAGCTTTTTGTCTTGATTTCCGTTTGGATTTGTAGGAAGTGAATGATGTTCTTCAGCGAGTGTCCGGTGAGAGCCAACCAGTTCCCTTGTGGAGAACCGCTTCTACTGAAGATGTGGACACCGCGAAGGAGAAAGAAATTCCCTTGCTGTATTCATTCCGTCTTAATCTGAAGGTAATCCATGTACTAGATGTAAGATTGCTCTTTTTAATTCATGCTATTGTGGAATTTATAAACAACACGGGTCCCCTTCTGTTGTATTTTTGACAACTTGACCCAAATGGTGCAAGCATTGTTGGTAAGACTTTTCCCACAGTAATCAACGGTTTTCTGAGATATGCTTATTTGGCATACAAGACAACGAAGTTTTTTCCTCGTGTTTTTCTCTGTCAGGGAATTCAAGTGACAGCTACAACTCCTTCTTCTACCGCGGTGAGACTGGACACCGGTGTAGTATCATTAGAGGTGTCTAACTCAGCGCCATCGTCTGGTCTCTTGCATGGTCAGCTGAGAAGAAGTATGTATTCAGTAGATTTTTTTTTTTCAGTCTTTATATAGAGGGGGTAAGTCTTTAAAGAAACTGTGGTGCTACGTCGGTGAGGGAGCATAACAATATAATTTGGTTTATCAAATTAGTTGATAATGTAAACTAGTCAGTTGAAAGATTTTCTAACGCAGATATTTCAAGCGTTGGTCCTTCGTCAGAGCGACTGACGAAGAGCGAACATTTGAAACGTCAGGTTTTGAAACTCTTTATGTTGTTGTTGTTGTTATTTTTTATGGGTCAGTCACAACAAGGTAAACTAATACAACGAATCAAGCAGATGTCTGAGCGAGACATGTGCTTGGTACCGAGCGCGTGAAAAGTTACTGCTGTGCGAAACCATGCACGGAAAACAGTTATGGAAAGAGCGGGAAAACGTCACTCCAGCCTAGCGCCAGCGCTAGGTGCCGAGCGCGGGAAAATAAAGTAGGAGTGTTTCAAGCTCGGAATTTTTTTGAATTATTAATGTTTCGCTTCTCTGGTTTTGTCTCTAGGTAGCAGCTATGTGAAACTATTTGGGAAGGCAGAAGTGGACGTGAATCTCTCTTTAGGACAATTTACCAAGGTAATAATTAGCAGTGATGATTGTTATAACTCAGAAGCTCCAGAGTGGTAAACTGTTGTCCTTTTTCTCCATCGACAGAGCCGAAACATAGACAACGAACTCGAATATCAGCAGTTGGCTTACTTCAAAACAAGGATTGGAGTTAGCAACTCATTTCAGGTACGGGAATCCTAGCTCAAATTCATTTAAATTCATTCAAAGTCGCCGTCTGACGACCTAGAATCATGAAATGGTCGCTGGAAATAACAATGTAGTCCCTGGGGAAGAAATGACATGAATAAATTACATGACCGCCGAACACTTGTCGCCAAATTGATGCGTTTCGCTACTGAATTAGTCCCCAGAATTTTTTCAGGCGACCAAATTGCTGACTGGTAGCCTGAACAGACGATCAATATTCAAATGCAGCCCTTAGTTTGAACAAAGGTTAACATGAAAGTACTTTGGATCACTTATTCTGGAATGACCGCACGAGTAGGTTTTGAATAAGTCCATAACGGTTGTTTGAAAACTGATGGTTGTATCCATTTTTTTGTGATCACAGGACAGCAGATCGTTAGCTGGCACAGAGGATAAAGAGACATTCCTGGTGACGCTAACTAAACCGTGTTTGTACGTACAACAAGTGGCATTCGACAAAGGTGAATGTATTAACTTATTATCGGGAACCTTTGCTCAGAGGTAATAATGATCGGTGAAATGCCACAGAGGCAATCATTACTGAAAAAGAAGTAGGGATGAACCATTACAGGTCTTTGCATGTGTAATATGGTGGAGAATAATGCGATGTGATGGTTATTTCCACAAAATACCTTTAAACATTCTTCCTTTCTTGCAGTTTTGCCATATTTTCCCTTTTTTAACTTGAAAGGAGTCTTGTAGTTTAGTTTCAGAATGGTCAAGGGTTGAAACTGAAGAAATTTGTAAGCTTGTTAGCTTTAAAATTCCCACTAAATATGAGCTAAGGTCGAATCAAAAACTTCTGCTCAAGGTCCCAAGTGGTAAGATGTTACCCACATTGGGAGCAAGGGCATTCTCCTATGCTGCACCACGTCTCTGGAATGACTTACCAAGTAACATCACTGGCCTTCACTCCTTCTCTAGTTTGAAACGTAATCTTAAAACCTACCTTTTTACCTGGGTTTTTAATCTTCCATCTCATTAGCTTAGTACTTTTTAATATTCTATCTCATTTGGTTAGTGCTTTTTAATTTCCTATCTCATTGGTAAATTTGTAATTTTACATATATAGATATATATATTTTTTTCCCTACATTTTCTTTATTTTCATGTAAAGCGCATTTCATTATGTATATGGAATTTGCGCCATATAAATTTCAATTATTATTATTATTATTATTATTATTATTATAAATTTGTACATAAGAGAGATACAATATACACAGAATAGGATACATCCTAGTGCGCTCGTGTTTTACTATAATGGGGCTATAGCAAGCAGCAGATAGTTGGTGGAACATAGCACACGTAACAGTACTTAATTCATATTTCGTAGCACGCATTAGTCTTTTTTTTCATTTACATAGTAAAAACATCGGAAGTTTGAGTTTTTGTATTCTTTTTTCAGCGGTTCTTGTTTATTTGAATTACAAGAACGCTTATGAACACTGGAACGAACAACGACTTGCGCTCAACAAAGAGGTCGGTATTAATTACACTTGGATTTCTTCTAGACATGCTCAATTACCGTTTTGTGCTGTTATTAGAGGCCTTCATAATCATATGGTAGTCTTCTCGATTCTTGATCTTTTGATGTTTTCAGAGTAATGCCGACAGCTTTTTCCCGCCATGATTAGCTGGCAGTTGCATCTTCTTTTTTCCGCCATAGCTTTGTTTCTGTCCTCATCCCTTTGAGTGCAGTCACTTCAATTTTCTACGTGGTGCTCATGCGGTGTTCACGTGGCACTCACGTGGCGTTCGCGTGTCGCTCACGTGGCGTTTGCGTGTCGCTCACGTGGCGTTAGCGTGTCGCTCACGTGGTGTTAAAACTCTTTCCTGCATGTGCTTCGTCCTCCTCAGCTCTTAGTAGATTCTCGCCAAAAAGTACCCGTGTCCCTTAAATTTCTTATTTCGTTTTCCACCCCTGATACTGCCTTCATTTCCTTTCCCTGGGCATATCAAAATTTTCAGGCCTTGATTCTTTTCCTACAGAAAGTGAATTTTGTCATAATTCTTATGTACAGTCCTCATAAATTTACTCTATCAATGATTCCACTCTCTTATACAGCGACTTGAGAAGAACACCACAAGTGATGTTAGTACTGATTTTCTGAGTTTTAACAACATGCACTCTGCGACCTTCCATCTTGTTCTTACACATTTTTTTTCGCTGAACATTTTTGTTTCATACTTGCTGCTCGTTCCTTTTGGTCGAAACTTTCCTGACAGACTCTTTGAACGAACTGCATATTTCTTGCATTACATTTGCTTTCTTTGTCCGTCTCGTTATTTCGATCGTTTGGGACATTTACATGTACCGCATCAAATGTCTGTGTGGTGTTTATTAAACACTAAGCCATAACTTGTGTTTTTGGTGTTATTTGTTTTTTCTCTTCCATAGTATAAAAAACTGCTATCTATGCCCCATTCAGTTGTTACATATCTATTTCAGATGGCCCATAATTTACGTATTTATGCGTACATTTATTCACAGCTAATTCGCAATACAGTTTCTCAGCTATTTGGTAGAAAAATCAATCTGTCGGTGAGTTAGACAGTTAAAAAGTGTGTGCGATTGAGTAATTCTTTGTAGTTAGTAAAGAAAAGTAAGAGGTTAGTTAAAATGTTTTCTTAGCACAGTTAATGCATATTGCAGTTGTTTTACTTCATAGCCATTTCGCTCAGTTATCCTACAACGTTTTAAATGCCCTATCTCTAATATGCGTCTCGTTTATTTGGCAACTTTTGGATGCAAAGCTTTTATTGTTGAAATGAGTTACGTGAACGAGTGTAATGAATGCAGTGAGAGATTTGAACAGCAGTGTTGACCTTATATTTTGTCAGACAGTCAGTTACGTACTGTAGCTTCTGCCTTCTTCTGCATGCCATAATTCAATGGGCGCAGTGTCGATAGTCAAGCGTTATTGTTTTGGTTGTTTTAATCTGCTCTGTGATTGGTCAAGAAAACTCAGGCCGTCCTCTTAACCAATCAGGAGCAACTAGGTCGCGCGCGTTTCTCGCGCTTCAGGCGAGTCTTATTGGGTCTTATCGACACTCAATCGAAATGCGCTTTTATTTATATCACCGTCCTAAATTATTCAGGAAAAATAGTTATGAATACAACAAGAGGCAAGACGCACTGATTCATTTATTTACTGGAGATGAACAAGGTGGCGTTTTTCTTAGTCTCTCTTCAGGTTCACTTTGCCACTCAAGCGGTGTTGGACAAACTGCCTCAGAGAGCCCCGTCTTCTCAGTTGTCGGGATCACTTTTCCTTCAACTTACTGTCGACCAACTTGGCGTTTGTATTCCCCTCTACAATGGCAATCAGGTTTGTAATCATTACTGTCAATGAGAGGAAATATTTAAGCGAAGAGGTTTGGGATTATCGAGGTAAAAAGCCGCGCGAAATGTTAGAACAAAACGAAAAAAGTCCGTGAATTACGTGGGTGTTCTGCCAGCTTTTCAAAGTGGAACCTATTTAGTTATCAACGTGTTCTGTTTCCTTTTTCAGGGTATCGCTCAAGGCTTTCAAATGAGATATGCTGGTAAGTGAATCCTAGAAAAGTTACAAGAACACGTATATACATTTCCACGGTAACTTGATTACTTTTTATCGTCTCGGATAATATGCTTTAAATGGTAGGAATAGTGCAGGAAATAAAAGTTAATGTTGATTAAGACCACTGAGGAAAAAATAAACCTTAAAAGTACACGGATGACAAGAATGAAGAAGGCTGGCACGGATTGCAAATAATTAGCTTGAGAATGTGTCCTTGAAGATCATTTTTTGTTGAGCCTCGATCCTCGATAGTAATTCGTTATTTTATTGGTTGCTACACTTTGCTCTCTGACTGGTCCAGAAACCAGGCCACCCTCTCAACCAATCATATGCCAAAAAAAATAATAACTCCATCTGCGACCTGGTTGCCCGCGTTTTTCCCGCCTTTTAGGCGAGTTCCCTTTGAAATCCTTTTGACGCTTACTTGCAATGCGCTCTTGTTTCCTTTCTTATTTATCTATTTTTAGAGCAAGAGCCTGGTCCTGCTATGGTGTTAAGAGTTGAACAGATGTTACTCACATGTTGTTCAAGCGTCTCTTTTGTCAGCAAAGGAAAGTTCAACAGCTTCTGCCTTTGGTTCGCCGATAAATTTGATACCGACACTGAGGACTGGAAACCAAACTTTGAGTCAGGGTCAACAGCGCGATGTAGTAGATGTAAGGCATCGTGGCATTTCACTTTTCGTTTCCGTTCATTACTTTGAACTGTGCCTTTAGTCAAGTGAAGGAAACTGAACTGTTTTTCTCAGGGTTTTCAATAAAAGTCAGGTCTGCCACCTGTAAGACTGCTCATGTGTTTGGTTTGCGAGCAAGTTCTCGTGTTTGGGTCTCGCCTCACGGCACATCCACCCATGGAACTATCGAAAGCCACTTATATAAAAGTTCTTGAAAAGCATGTTTTCTTTATACACTACTGCCGCAAACGATAATCTAATCCTTTTGTATCTTCAAGGTGTTGTTCCGGAAGGAACCTACGAACTGTGCTCCAGAACACAGAGGTATCCTGTGACACCAGGTAAGATTCCTTCGAAAATTGCTTTTAGCCAGCAGTTTTGTGAGCGCATTAATAATAATAATAATAATAATAATAATAATAATAATAATAATAATAATAATTATAATAGTATACGTTAATTGAAGCTCCTCCTTAGGGGCTTTTCAGCCACAATGTAGACTAACTAAGAGCTTAAAAATCCCCACTGGCAGGAGGCAGACCAGTGGGCTATTTACAGAGCGCAGCCGAGGAGTTGAACTAGGGGCATCCGAGAACAAATCCAGTGAGTGGCAGGGTAGAGGACTTGAACCCGGGACACCGGATTACAAGTCCAGCACCCTAACCACTCGGCCACGCCGCCTCCGCATTCAAACATTTTAGTGGCGGAGCCGCAAGAGGCTTGGGAAGGAAAATGGCCCGAAGCGCAGCTGCTTGTTTTTTCCCTCTGCCGCCTTGTCAAGGGGCAATGAGCCTTACTTCCACAATGCTTCTTTCCTCTTAGCACTATTTACCCTTTGACTCCCAAGTGTGGCTAGCATTTGATTTCTCCTGACAGTTTCAACCCCGAATCAGGCATTAAGGTGACAAGAATAAAGGAAATTATCACCAACTAAATAAGCTCTTGATTCTTAAACAAATTCTCGTTGTCAGAAACTCATGAAATAAAGAGAGGACAGTATGGAGGATATGCTTATTGATGTTAGGGTACGAAGTGCTAGTGGGTTAAGAAAACTGGGGAATCTGGCAAAACAGTGTACTGGCGTTCCTCTGGAGATGAGCAACACACTTAGGCGCTTCATGCCGGGGAAACCGAGGATGTTTGGCTGTAACGAGTCATCATATAAGTTCGCAAGACTAAAACCTTTAAACCAAAGTTGTCTTCTTTTATTCCACAACAGACATGATCAAGGCAGGGAAGTGGGTTATGTCCTTCCAATGGCGCATGTGCGGTATCGAATTGCATTGCGACACCAACATTGGTAAGCATCTGTCATCTCTGGGACAAACGCTGACGGCTTTGGCTGGTGAGCCGGATGTGGCTAACATTGACTCGGTTACAGAACTGCAGGACAGGGACCAGACTCCAAGGACATCTGTTGGAGGTCGAGACGAGGTGGATAACATGGCGGGGACGATGGATGGACGGAAATCTAGAAATATAGAGAAAAATATGTGGGAACAGGCCCGCAAGGTCAATGAACTCAGGTAAGGAGGCATAGTACTTTTCTTTTCATTCTTTGATTGTATTTTTTAAAGCCGATTTTTTTTTAAAGGAGTGTTGCCTTTTGAATTCTGTGAAATAACTTAACGTTATAATTGAGTAGGAATTTCTTGTCGCGAAATTTTTTAGAACATTATTTAAGTCAATATTGGAGCGTTTGAACAATTCTGAGCCGTGGTGCAGTGGCCAACCATTTTACAAAACTCATTGCATCTAAGGTTGCATTCGTGATTTAAAAAAATATCGCTAAAAATGGCGATATACAAAATGACAGAAGTTTACTTTTTTCTGTGAATTTTCACAGGAGAAAAACTGACGTGGCATCGTACGTCATGGAACGAGAAACCAAACGACTTCAGGATCTTGAAAGCGCAGTCTTTAACGAATTTCGCAAAGACGTTCGGAAGAGGCTTCGGAGAAATTCTCGGTCTGGCCGATCGACTCTTTCGAAGGTTGCCGAGTCAGACCGAGGCAAAATTCATGGCAGGAAAGCTATGTCAGAGAAAGTTCAGGGATCCAGAACTCGCTCTAGAGTGCGTCGCCAAGTGAGTAGCGACCAGGAGGACATTGAGAGCGAAATGGTGGAGATGGGATCCACTTCGTCGTCGCCGCAGAGACCTATGAGATTTTCTACCAGCGACGCTCCGATGATTACTTGCGAGGACGAGGGGGAGAACGCAATTTTTGGAAGGCATTCGCCATCTCTCCCCGACATCATCAACGTTGGCAGTAACGCAGTTAAGTCGATTCACGAAGATACACCCCCGTTGCGAGGCATGCTGCACCAAGAAGGAGAAGAAACAGGAGGACCAAGAGTGACTTTTAGGACTCCGAGTGAGTCGGATTATGAGAGCGGCTCGTCGCAAAAGTCGTTTACTACGCAGCAACAATCACAGCAACAGCAGACACAACAAAATCTTGATTTTGAGTTAGACGTGGCTGTAGAGATTGACAGTGGTCAGTGTGTGTTTTATCCTGCTGACGAAGGAGAAAAGGATGACGCTGCAGACACCAAGTACGTCAGAGAATTTCAATTTTACATTTAGCACTTACCGCAAACACCGGCGTAAAAGTCGCACTCTAGTCACGCAACTGTATTTTTAGAAAGACAGTTTTTGAAAATGAAATGGAAGGAAATCACAAGTGGAGTCTTGAGAAAGTTGCTTTATATTGAAATTGGAGAATACTTTGAATCTTTACCTTAAATGTTAGCTGTAAAACAGACATCATATTTACCGACGAGATCTATGTCTTACCTCACTCTGGTATTGTCCAACCAGTAGTTTTTTTTTTTTATTCCATTTTTATAGAATTTAACATAACACGACTGGAAATCTTTAGTTCGTTTGTTAGGTCATTCGTAGCATAGTAACCGGGCATTTGATCAGGAGAATAGGCCTGGACATGTGTAGCGTTTTGAGCATTACTTTTCATCGCAAATACTTGAGAGTCGCGCGGCGTGTTCTCTATCGTGGTGGACCACTGTTGTGTGGTATTTTATATGCGATCTAAGTCTGAGTTAGGGGAAAAGTAAAGACTTGTAGCGGGCTTTGTGGTATGGAAATCTGCGTAAAAGACAATTGAAGGTGTTTAATTAACATCTTTGATTTCAGCAGGAAACGAACAAAATGCGTAAGTGTATCTCCTGAGTGAGATCAATGGGCCAAACCTCTGTCACGCAAACAACTTCAAACATCAGCATGATATCAAATCTGACTCTCTAGAAACGTAAAGCTCTTTTCTTGTGGCGCAAAACAAACTCAAAGTAATCGCATCTACTAATCAGATTACGTAACCGGCCTCGAATGCGGGAAAGCACAAACAGGCATGGTTGGCTCTAAACTGTGCTTCTGATTGGATAGGTGAATACCGCCTTCAAAAGCTCTCAAAGCTTAATGGTATAACCAAGACAGATTTGAATAACCCTCGACACTTCATCCTAAATTTCAAAGCGCAAGATTATTTTACTAGTCTTAGTTAAAAATGTGGATCAGCTCGCGGTTTTTGTCTGATATGGTATTTAACTATTTCAGATACGTTTGGAATTCACAGCAGAGTGTGTACTATTAAAAGCTGAATGGGGTATTTGATAAGCTGACTTATGCGCGCATTTTGATTGGTTCTTTATCTTGATCTGTTGGAGGACAGATGCGTAGATGATGTCGCCATTTTTACCATAAAGTAAAACAATTAGGTTCCATATTACCGTGGATCTGAACAGTAATAGATCAAAGAGGACGCCAGAATGTGGTAAGAACATGGGTGACACACCTTGTATGTCACTTCTTTGTGTTGTCACAACATTTTGACGTCATAAAATCTTTATGTTAATTACTTATTTTGACAACATAAAATCTTTATGTTAATTACTTATTTTTTCCCCAGGACTTCGGACAAACGATTCCAATTGTTTGATCCCGCACGCGGTAAATTGTCAACCCCACTGTTCCAGACTACCATTGGTCAGAAGCGACAGAAGCAAAGCACGCAGGAGAAACCTCAGCCTGAAGATACAAAACTGCTTTTACCTGCGGTGGATGTCCGTGTACACTACAATTCCACCATTGACTCGGAAAATGTCGGAGTCTGTGTTTCCCCGAGTTCTGTCGGTGGGGGTCCCCCCACGATATTGGTCCAGCCGGGGACACCCACAGACAACTCATCTTTTATCAGTTACGCTGAATCAACGGATCAAGAAGGTCGAAGCGTGGATTCTTTACTTATGAGCTCTACCCAAAACAGGAAAATCGTCAAGAAAGCTGGTCTGTATGTATGGGTGTTGTTCCAGTCACTACCTCAAGAAATGGTGTTGAAACCACGTCTGCTAGATTTCATTGAACAAGCTCTGCAACCGATCAGCGTGCCAGGTGGAGACGAATTGGTCGACGGGGGAGCTATAGCCTCGGGTGAAGACAGCGACACAGAGGGAGAAATGGGAGGCTCTGTGGTGTCTTCCTCTATGTCGGAATATTCTTCCTTTCCTGTAGATGTGGTGGTTGTGATTCGTGTGCAGCCATCTGATATTCGCTTCAGCTGTCTCCCTGTCTCACGTGTAGAGTGTATGCTGCGGCTTCCTGCACTGGATGTTGTGTTTTCGTCCAACTCCAGTCCTAACAAGTCTCTGCTACAAACCCCGTCTTCTCGGCTCCTCGGTCGGGATCAATCGCGTCTTAAGACGGACCAAATGGAAAGCACCCTACCTCCTTCCTTGTTGACTTTTGACAGTGGTGGTATCAGCTTCACCGTCTGCCTCTCCCGCTTTTCATTTTGCATCTTCCATCCATACGGAAAGCAGCACACGGGTCTGGGTCGCTCTCCAAGTGGCGGCTCCTCCGAGGCGGAAGACAACCTTGAGGACAATCGTCCGCAATTCCGTTTTGCGCCGTCTCAGCCCTTATCTGGTAAGAAGGACTCACTAAGTTTAAACGTGGAATTCGTCAAGTTTAATTTGTCCCGCAGGAGAGTTGGGTCTACAGGTGGTTCGACGGAAGATAAAACTAGGACGCCATCACCTGATCTTCTGGCCGGGACGGGGACCGGGTCCTCGACTGTTGTCAAGGTGTCTGGTAAGTTCAACTTTACAAATAACTTTAACCCAAAATTGCTTCCGTAGCCCTTTACACCGTAACATTAGTATTCATCTTCTCCATACTGTCCTCGATACATTGTGTTGACAAGGAAAATCAAGAGCTTCTTTAGTTGGTGATCATTTTCTGTATTCTCGAGACCTTAATGTGTGGTTCAGAGATGATATTGCAAGGGAAGCCAAAGTGTTTAAACCGAGGACTCGTTTTTACCTTTGAGACATACCTTTGAATTGATTTCTTGTAAGGTATCTGTGACATTGGCTCAGCAACTTTCAACTATGACATGCGCCGTTTGAACGAGATTCTGGACTTTCCAAAGGCTTGGTAAAAGGGAGGACTTGTCCAGCGGTTATTCTTAGGAAAGGAGGGATCTTACGCCACGAAGACCTCAGCGATGTCATCGGAAATGAGCCCTGATACAGTTCCAAGGAATAAATCCTCCGACGAAGACAGGAGAAGGTATGTCTGAAACGCTGCCAACATACTCGTAACGTTCAAAGAGTAAAGATCTTTTGAAGGAGGTAAGGTTATCAAAAGGATCCTTTCGTTCTAAACTTACAGTTTATTAGGTGGGAGAGTGCGCTCATGATTCAGTCAAGAACCTTTCAAATCAATCAAGTTATCCAGAAAACCCTCCAAACACAATATTTCACTAGCTTTTATTTTGCCTCTTAACGCTTGAATATAAAAATTTTAAACAAAATTTGAAACAAATTCTCCATTTTTTTTAATGGTTAGAGATCCGTATCCAGAATTTTTCTTAGAAAATTGTTGTCGTACTTCATGGATGTGGTTTCCTGATACAGTGTACTATTCTTATTTTAAAGATCTTTGTCCCTTAACGAAAGAGAGACCCCTTCTGCCACTGCAACACCGGCTAAGCTTCGAAAACATCCTTTATTTCGTTCCATGTCTGAGTCTCACGAGGAGCCGCCGCCTATCACCCCGATTAAATCGCCTGCAAATAAACATAGGCCAGGTCAGTCTAGAACTAACTTTGATGCTCATAAAGAAGGATGTCACTTGTTATGTCACGAACGCGGGATCAAGAAAACATCCAGACCCTCAAACCCTCGAGTTCCATGCTGCTATGCTCTCCGACTACGTCATAGAGAACGTGGTGAACTTGGCCCTAACTAGGTTGATGTGCAGTTATTCGCCGAGCTCTTTGTGAATATTGTTGAATTATGCCCGTGACGAGGTCGATCGGATTATTCAACAATGCTCACTGAGCCTGAGGATGAGCAAGGAGACTTAGCAGGTTTATTTAATTCAATCAGCAAAATCTTCATTTCTTTCTTTTGAAAATTTTTCCGCGAAAATCAGAAGCATCTTTTGTGCTCTTCGCATTTGAATTTTCTTCAAACGCGTTTATCACTTCCTCGAAAACAGTGACAAACCGCGAGGCACCCATTTTGAAATTTAGTGCCTCAGCTATAATCACCATGTGCAAGGTGATTATGGCTGGATATGACGCAATCCTTAACCAATCAGAGCGCGTGCATCTCTATAACCACGTGAGCAATTACCCTAGAAGTAAATACTCCTTTTACTGATATTACCATATTGATTATCCAGCTTACTTACCATTGCCTCTTCCATTAAATGTCCACCCAATTCTGACCGGCAATACCCGACAGCCCTGACTGCTACTACGACCTCAACTACTGATCACCTCATTTCTCTCTACCGTTCTTGTAATCTGGCTCTATCAACCATCTCACTCGACTACTTGATTCTCTCCTTCAGACCCTTGATCCTCATATAATGGTATCTTGATGCTCCAGTTCTGACCAACTCGGCCAATTCCTCCACCGTTAAAGACCACTTCATCCTCCCATTCTACTCTGCTAACCAACTCATCTGCATGCAACCTCTGACCAGGTTATTTTCCACTTCAGACCACTTTATCCCCAATAACTGAACTCTTGTTGCACCAATGTTGAATACAGTAGAGCTCATCTACTACATCGACCACTACTACTATGAACAAAGGCAGAACTACTACAACTTTCACTATATCCTTTTAACTTTAATTGTCGTGTTTTTGTTTTTGTTTTTTTGTTACAGGTCATCGGAAAATAGCGTCGTCTGGCAGTTCTTTCTTTGGTTTTCTTCCCAATTCCCCTGGTCTCTTGCGGTCAATGACGATTAGTGGAACTAGGAACGGGTTATTGAATCCCTCCGCAACCTCGCCTCCAAACAGAAAACGGTCTTCAAATTCAGGTGGGAAATGATAAACTAAAAAAAAAAATTCCTAGCGAGATTTTTTTTTTCTAGTTTGTAAATTGGTATTGACGAGCCATTATCGAAACGGCACAATCTAACCAGTATCTATTACACATCCTGTTTCAGCAGGGATGAAGACCGACGCACCTGAGCGCCGTGGACTAAAAGTCATCGAAAGTTCATCAGAAAATGACGTTGATGGTCCTCTGAGCCATTCATCTTCGTCCAGCCTAGGAGGAACTCGATCCAAATGGGAGACAATGGTTGTCGTGGCTGTGAATCTTTCTAGGTTGGACATGTCAACAAATATGGGCAGCGTGATGGGACAAACACAGTAAGAGCATGTTGACTAAGTTTTTACTTTTAATCTTCTCCTTAAAATTTAGACGTTGACTTTTCCCTTGTTCTTCGAGTCCTCTCGTCACCCAATGAATGCAAAAACGTGACTGAAATATAAATTCTCAAAAGTGAACCAATTTTAAGAGGTTGGCAGAGGGTATATAGCTGATGCGTGACTAAGGCCAAAATTAATACTTGACAAGTTAATTTTACAGAATGGCAAGCTTGACTCGTGAATTCATTAACCCATGTGAGCCGTAATCTGCCACCTGAAATGTACGTGACCCGTGAAAATTTCATTTCGTGAAAACCTGCAAGATTCCTCTGAAACCTCACACACAAGAAGAGAGATTTGAAATTTTCTCTTTTAAATTTGTGACGGGTGAAATGCCATTTATTAGGATCCCCCTTCCTTTGTTTTCCTCTTCTAAGAGTGACATTTAGATAGAGACATTGGATGCCCTCGTTAAGGGTTAAGAACGCATTATGTTCTTTGTTGAAAAACGATTTACCTGGAGAAATAATTCTAAAACCAAAGCCTGAATATCTCTTTCTATCAGCTTAGAGTATTGTTTACTTCGGTCGAGAGCAGCTGAAAATTTTGTCGCTGTATTTCTTTGTTATCATTTCCTTAAGATGGAGTACAAGTGATCTTCGTTCCCAGTGTCAAATTACTCTCACAAATATGGGTCGACGTGAGCTGAAGGGGTCTGTGAGTGTTCACCAAGCGGTATATGAAGCACGGAGTGGCATCGTCGGCGGACATGTTGAAATACAAGAACTCAAAATGCGAGGTAGGAAAAAAATTACCTTCGGCTCCATTATAGACGGCGTACAAAGATGTATTACTGGCCTTGCTTTGTAATGAGCACTCTGTTGTTTTCACACATGTTGACGACGATGGAATTGATAAGTTACGTGCTTTTTAAAGGATAGCAGTTAAGTTTGCCATTTAGAGCACTTTTAACATTATTTGTTGAATGGTTTTGATGATGACGTGGCTGTGAAAACCAGCCGTAGGTAATCGCGAACGGCTGAGTAAAGTAAAGGATTGTTGTCACGTGTGAATTAAGAAGTTCTGAAAAGAAAGTGAAATTAATCCTTAATTATACGAGGAAACGTGCGATGACTCGTTAGTATTATAAGGGGCAAAATCTTCTTTTATCAAGAAGACCTAAAAGATCAAAAACGCACGCTGTTGTGCAATTTCGCTGGAAGCCATTTCAGTGTTCAGTTAGTGTCAATGAACTGTAAAACGCACGAATCAGCTGAAGGAAATTTATTTTGTAAAACACCCAAAGCAATGAAAGCAGCCCTGTTCAAGAAAACGTCATCAATGAAGTTGCAATACTTTAGGCAAAGTTGAGCTTTTTTCATTGTTTTGAATTTTTCAAGTGATTTTGCCCGGGCAATTCCCAAAATTAATGAAAAATGTCTTCAGTCTCAGCCAATCAGGATCTAGTGATCGTGCCCTCTATCTTAGAATAAAGCTCCACCATTTATCCAATCAGAGCGCTTGTTATATCGGTTAAAACACATTAGGAGTATGTTAAAATTTCATAGAGTGCGGTAAATTGATTTTTTCTTTTTTTGTATTTAGCCCAAGTCAACGAGCAGCGAGGCTGCAACCCTCAGCATCTGATTCACTTGGGTCTACGGTACGCTGAGGCTCGTGTTGATTACATGGGAACATGTATACTGATGGGAAACCTCTCCGCGTTCAAGACTGACCTGCGTGATGAATGGACGCTACAGGAGACAAAAAGCCCCTCCACCGGTGAGTAGGGTGTTACTTGTGCAAGAAAATCCACAAAGGGAGTAGCAGCCAATCAAGCAAGGTTCAAAGAGCTACGTCACCAAACTGGTTTACGTTGATTCGCCTAGTGGAGTAGCTTGAAGAATTGGAACTGAGTGTTTTTTTTATTGGTATATACACATGGAGCGAAAAAAGTAACTCTCCCCCCCCCCCGCAAATAATAAAAAAATGGTACGAATTGTCACTCTAAAAATCCAATCGCATGGCGTGATTGGCTGAGTGACAGTATTCCTTAGAACATTGTTCACAGTTTTCTTTTTTTCATGAAATTAATTTCATATGACCTGGAAATGAAAATCAAAGAAAGAAGTGATCCTTCCAGGTGAGCCCGATTTAAGAAATTAAAAAAAACAAAAGAATCCTGAAAAAACTCGACAGGGTTCGAACTGGTGTCTCCCAGATAGTAATCGGTTGCTACTACCCACTGAGCAAAGAGCGAGGCAAATATTAAAGGGTTCACCTTTCCCGTCAGTGAATGTGATCGCAATTTCTTTTTAATGAAAGAAATTTCATCAACCTGGCGGAAATCAGAATGAGAGTCCAGTGAAAAATTTTTTTTTTAGTCGTGTTGTAATTCTGGTACGAGAAAACTGATGGCTTTGTTAATATTGTGAACAAGAAGTATCTATAATGGCAGGTAGTTATCACTCTTAAGTGAAACCAATGGAAAAAATTTTGAGAATCAGGATAAAGTTCTTGTTACGCTACGGTGAAATATAAGTTTTGTTTGTTTTTCAGATTCTCTCTTCGAACAGGAACGGGAACCAGTGAACGCCAAAATCTACATGCACGGGGACTTAGCGTGGAATGATTTCAAGATAATGATTTGTCGTTCCACTACACCTGACATGGTCAAGATGGTCGCCAAGATTCAGGAATTCGTTGCCCAGCAACACAGAAATAGCATCCGGGCATTGTCCTCTCTTCGTCCTCACATACCTCTCATTACGGGTGATGTGATGTCATCACTGTCTTCGCCAGTCTCCACGGGATCCCAAGTCAAAGAAGAAAATAAAGATGGTAGGTATTGTTGTGTGTCATAACATCCCTGCTGTTGCGAAAGAATGGACCAGCCATTATTTATCGCTCAGTATCGGGTAGTTCAAAGCTGGGTTTAGATAACCCATGGTTAGTGTGAAATCTGATTTCAGATCTGAAAGCTTTAAAAGAAAATTCAGTATATATCTTGTTTTTGATTTGAAATTTGGATGCTCTTAAAAGAGCCAAAAAAAAATGATCTCCAATAGGCTTTCGACTGAACAAAGGAATAAAGAAACCCGGATTGGAATTTAATCTTGGGTTAGCGCTATTCGTTTTTCCGAACAACTGGGCCCCTAGCGGGGAACGAAGGGGGGTCACTTTTTTACAAATAGTGCGAAAGGCGGGGGGTATAGAAAATTGACTGCCGATTATCGGTCAACCACGGGGGTCATTCATAGGAATACTACAGAACCTAGAGGGGATCAAGTTAGTTATTTTTATCGTGACACAACCAGACTTACTTGAAGATTGCTTCAGATGAAAGATTATCAACTCACTAATCCTTGAACCCCCAAGGGGGCCTGACCAAGACAGAATTTCTCTTTACATTGTAAATAGAATATCATTCAAGACAAGTGATGAGATTAAAGAAAATAATCAACCAGGGGATTTTTAGTTCATTCAATTGCAAATTTTCCGTACAGACATCTTAAGAATTGTACGGAAGACAGTAGAATTANAATACACTTGACTGCAGCAGAGCTCAATGAAACACTTGCCTGCAGCAGAGCTCAATGAAACACTTGCCTTCAGCAGAGCTCAATGAAACACTTGCCTGCAGCAGAGCTCAATGAAACACTTTCCTGCAGCGGAGCTCGATGAAACACTTGCCTGCAGCAGAGCTCAATGAAACACTTGCCTTCAGCAGAGCTCAGTGAAACACTTGTCTGCAGCAGAGCTCAATGAAACACTTTCCTGCTGCGGAGCTCGATGAAACACTTGCCTGTAGCAGAGCTCAGTGAAACACTTGCCTGCAGCAGAGCTCAGTGCAACACTTGCCTGCAGCAGAGCTCAGCGAAACACTTGCCTGCAGCAGAGCTCAGTGCAACACTTGCCTGCAGCAAAGCTCAATGAAACACTTGCCTGCAGCAGAGCTCGATAAAACACTTGCCTGCCGCAGAGCTCAATGAAACACTCGCATTTGTTAGGAGATTTGCTTAGAATGAGTAGATTGACATAAGCTGGCCAAAGTTTTAAAAAACTTCCAAGATAGATCGACTGAAAAGTGTCAGTGTGACAATCCTATTTTGAGAAAAAATACCTGGAAAGAAAAAAGGAAAAAATTCTAAGAAGTCTGTTATTTTTGTTGATAAATGTGTTTCATGGCATATTGAGGAAATATCTTGTCGATGTTTACTTCACCTTTGTGCGTGTGATTTATACTGAAGAATAATTTCTTGAAGGTAACACTGATGCACGTTTCGTGTTGACAGGTCTGAAATATCAACATTGGGGGAAAGTGCTGAACGCGGTCAGAGGCCTTAAACTGAGCATGCTCAGCAGTCCCCTGCCAGAGAGAGGTGTGTTGCTGGGAGGGAGCCTGACTCTACACGGCAAAGCTGTCTCTCTGGCTTGTTTTCACGGGGTGAACTTTCGTTCCCAGTCCTGGGTACTCTTTACGCTTCAGAGACCTTACATGACGTTTACGAGCAAGGTGTGTACAGTGGAGAAAAGCTGTCAAGTTAGGCGCGTGAAAGCCGTGCAAGATCTTTCACTCAAACTGGGGCATGGTGCGGAAGACTCTCTCAGTGGAAAACTCTCACCCTCGCCAGGTAAGGGTGGAGTAAAGTAATGGTAATAAAGCGACCCGAGCACGAAAGAAAATGAGAACAAGCGTCAAATTACACTTGTCACAAATCCCAAAGTATTAGAGGGAGGGGGTCAAGTGAGCAGCGGAGAAAAATGAATGAGCGGGTGGCAAGCAAACAAATGAACTAAAAACGAGCGACTAAGCGAGCGAAGGGTCGAACGAACGAAACAACAGAAGAACGAACAAATAAAAGGACTAAAAGAACGAGCGAGAAAATGGTAGGAACATACAGAACGAGGGAGCTGGAGAAACGAGCAAGGGAGGGAACCAACCAGCAGTTCCAGTTGTATAAAGGGCGGATAACACTATCCAACGGATAAATCGCTATCCGTGCAGCGGATAAGTGATAACAAATCGTACTGCGCTATCCACCGGATAAAGATTTATCCAGTGCATAGCGTTATCCATCCTTCGAACAACGAGGGCCAGGGGGAGAGACAGAAGAAGAATTTAAATGTCTTAAGGAGATGAAATAGTGAAAACTACCTTCAGTTAGCCTTAGCTTTTTCATTTCCAAGAGTGAAATCTATATTACAAGGAAATCTTGAAACTTTTGCACCACATCGTGAACGTTTTCTGTCGCTTATCGTTTTGCTGATGTTATCCGCCAATCTCAACCTGTCGTCTGTAAAAAGTTTTTTTAGCGAGAAATTATGAGTTATTTACCTTTTTTTCGCAGCACACGTGGGAATCGTTCAAAAAGTTGCTCGTGGTAGGAGGAACCCCCCGTCCATGGGAAGCACTGTCCAGGATTGGCTCAACTATGTATGTGCTACCGGAGGGGACATAAGCCCGTCAGATAACACCGCATCCAGCAGTCTTGATAAGCCTCGTGAACGCTCAGAGTCTATGACAGGGCCTGGTAAAGTTGCCACGAAAGAACGACGAGCAAGTATCGGCTTCCGATACGAACACGAGACAGAGGCGATATTTGTTATTCCGAAGTTTGAGATGGAATTCCGATCTGAACACGACATGCCGATGACGTCGATTGCATCCAAGTGGGTTCGTAAACAAAAAAGGTGAGAAATGAGAGGAACAATTAATGTCCTTTAGATGATAATTTCTTTGAAATCCTCCTTTTTTATTCAATGGATGTCGTGTTGTTGTTACCAGTGCACCGGTGGTCACGCTCATGGCCGTGACACCAGCCAGTCCGCACGTGGTGGAGACAAGCCTCACGTCAACATTTGATGATGGCCTTTGCGTGACAGTTGATGTAGGTCTTTTGTTCTTCTTACATGACGTAGTACAGACGTATATTAAAGAAAACGAGACCACGACTTCAGGTGCGTGAAAACAAGCATATTTATTCTTCACTTAAATTAAATGGTAAGATTAAAAGAGTTAGATTTGCAGAAAAAAACGAGCAGTAACCGGAACAAATATTTAGCCAGTAACCATTTGGATGGTTAAACGCGTTTTGGTTATCGATGGATTTCTGCTATGTTTATCGGTACAGCAAGATAAAAAGGGCCACATGCTTGATAACTTTGATGTTGGTGTTTACCCCTGGCTGCCAGTGACTTTGACGTCTCAATGGATATTGTAATTTGCACCTAGCAAAACATTTTGAACGGTACCATGTAATAGTTCTGCTCGGAGGTCCCCAGGTAAATGGTCACACACAAGATTTGCAACCTTAACCTTGATACTCAGATCCACCCTGTTTTAGAGAATGTAGTTGATGTTCACTCTTTATTTCTACCAGCTTCAATTCCCCGCGGGATGTCGCCTCCCTCGCGCGTGCGTAGAGAGCGCATGGCTGAAAAAGAAGACCGAGAGAAAGCTCCCAAACCGGAAGCCAAACGAATCCGTCAGTTTCGGAGCAAGTACTGGAAGCTAGAGCCTCGCGTTCGCTTCTTATCGTGGGCAGGAAAGAACATGGATCCAGTTAACATAGACTGGGTTCTACAGAAGCTTGGTTTTTCGCATGCGCAGTTGACCATCCCGAAGTGGGCTCAGCGGGGGGCCATGGACCCAATGGACGCGTTTTTGTCGCTGCTGGCTGACAGACTCTTGGCGGGAATGCAGGAGAGTTCGTCATACCTTGGTGACCGAGAGTAGATTAATCGTATTTTCAGTTGAAATGACGTTATTTATCAAGTCTTATGATAGATATGTACACGTTTTGGTCGTATAAATGGTAGCAATCATTCTATCAAATTTCTTTTGCGGCTACAGTATTTTTTCTTTGTTTTGCCTGTGAGATTAAGGACAGAATATTAGGAAGCCTGAGCGCAAATGTTTTTGAGACGCACTTTTTTTGAGACGTTTGCTCCAGGTATTTTGTATGTAGTATCCAGTTTAAAATGTTGAGACAAGGGCTTGACAGGTGATTGTTTGTCGTCAAATTGTTTCTACTAGTAGTTTTATTATGCCATCACCGTAAAATTGTGCTGGTGATTGTTTTAATCTTTGTAGCGTTTACCATGGTAATTTTATTACTGGAGAAAATATGTTTATCTTAGACCAATTTATATTCATTTCCTTCGCTTTCTCGTTGGAATTATTTAGCCCTTACCACTGTTGTTAGCCCTTGTTGAACTTTTGTTATAAATGATCGAAGTACTTTCCACTTTCGTTTTCAGATTCTCTGTGCAGTGCAATTATTGCTTTTTTTTTATCGAGTTTTTATTATGAATACGCTGAATGTCAATTTGCAAATACTGGCATTTCAGACAATGACGTGCCAATTTCTCATAACTTGAACACCGAAACTTAACTAGGAAAAATATTTCACTACAATACATTTCTACGTTATTTAAGAAAATGATCACTGCCTTAAAGTAATGGATGCAAGCATTCCTCTTTGCTAGATATTTTATGTAGGTGCTAGAAAAAATAAGCCATATTTCAGATGGTGCAGGTTCATAATTTCAGAAATACGTGTTATTTATGATGCAATTTCTAAGTTTTGCATGAACGATAGATGATTGCAGATCAACTCGGCAGGCTAGTTGCTAAACCAGGTGTTAAGAAACTGTTTATTACAACTCGAGGCGAGTTGACAAAAGATGAGTGCTGTAATTTTTAAATATTTTGTATCAGTGCGAAGTAGAAGTAACCTCTAGTGTCAGTAAGATTTTTAGTAATGAGGGAGTGGTTGGAGGTACCAGTAGTTCGTTTCACGTTCAAGTTGAAATAAATCGGAACTGCTTATGGTTAAAATTTCTTTGCGCTCCTTTAAAGAAAATGGAGCTATAGTTTTGTCTTGTACGTTTGTACGTGATTCGAGCGTATTGGCCACGAAACCCTTAGCTATACCTATGGCCAAGTCGAGCTTCTCTTCAAATTCTTTTTATGAAGGGTTCCACCATCTAGGAAGGACAATGCACTTTGCTTGCTCCAGTCAAGGCCATTCGTAATGGCCATGTTGCCCATAGGTTCTCTGTGCCTTAGTGCTAGAACATCGGAACGCGGAATCCGAAGGTCTGAAGTTCGATTTCTCATGGGAACTCGGTATTTTTCTTTGTCCCATGCTGTTGACAATACGAAAAAACATGTTCCTCTATTTCTTCACCGAGCTCAAAGTTTACTATCTTTCTTATTCCATTTACAATCATTATTACTATTATTATTTGTTGGTTGTTGTTTTCTTCTTTTCTGCTAGTTTGTGAGCGTGTTGTTCATGTGTTTTTCGTTGTTTTTCAAGGCCATCGTGTCGAGTGATTTTCGATTTCTGACTAAAACTGAAATCCGTTTTTCCTTTTGTTTCGCATTTGATGCGATTTTCAAAAGTGGCTGAACACCGCAACGCAGAATCCTAAGGTCTCAAGTTCGATTCCTCGCGGGGAATCGGAATTTTTTCTTGTCCCATGCTGTTGACAATACGAAAAACATGTTTTTATATTTCTTCACCGGGCTCAAAGTTTACCATCTTTCTTATTCCATTTACAATCATTATTATAATTATTTCTCGGTTGTTGTTTTTCTACTTTTCTGATATTTTGTAAGCGTGTTGTTAATGTGTTTTTCGTTGTTTTTCAAAGCCATTATGTTGAGTGATTTTCGATTTCTGACCAAAACTGAAATCTGTTTTTCCTTTTGTTTCGTATTTAATGCGATTTACAAAATATTCCCAACGTAATCAAATATTCTGGCCTATTGCAATACGAAAATACTTTTTTCCATTTCCGGCTCTGTGCAATCCGCTATTGATTATGTTAATTATCAACAAAACATTGATTCACTAAGGACGGCTCGCCAAATGAGTTTTCATTAATTGATAAGTTGAACTAATCAATACTAAACAACAGATTATTGTTTAGTAAGTTGTGCTCGTGAGATCAACGATTGCTTTCTATCAATTCTCATGGTCTGGTCGAAAAGCTTGACGCCTGTTTTTGAAATCAAAGACCGCACCGCTTTTGTGTTAAATCACTATTGTCTCAGTGGCGTATCAAGTTGCTATTTGTGTGTCGGACACCCCCCTGTGGGGTTTACAAGCAGGCGTCTCGTGATTGCATCTTGCCCACAGCTGTCAGACTCGGAGGTATACGTGCTGACCTACCTTTTTGTATTTCGATCGTCACATTTAATTATTATCGCTTTGTCAGGCATTGTGGTGCATTTTGTGGGCTAAGAAAAGGATTTTGGTGGGCTATGATTTAGTTTAGCCCGCTCGCTCGCACCAGAGTTAAGCCAGAGTTGACATAATAAATTACGCGAGGGTGCGAGCAGAGTTATTAGAGGGAACTCTGGTCTGAGTCGAGCACAAAACATATTCATGCCAGCGAACATGAATATTCATATAGTGCACGATCCTCGCAGTAGGATCGCGCACCATATCGGCAGTAGGATCTATCCTCGCAGTAGGATCGTGCACCACATTTTTTTTTTTTTTCAGGTCTGATTTTCGCTATTGCTTAAATAGCGCTATCTACTTCGAGGATCGTGCACCATATGTATCTAATACCACAGTTCAAAATATATGAACTTCATATATTTCATTGTATCTGAACATGAATATTGTTTTATTCACATGATTGTGAGGATTAAAATCACGTAATGGATATATGACAGCAACTTTCTTTTATTTAATAACACCGTGCCCTTTGTATTTCTTGTGTGTTACTTAATAAATGGAACAAGCAGCCACTGGGCGGGAATGGCTCAAAACAATTACTGAAGGTCGGTTGTGGGGTTACTTTCAAATATTAGTAAAGCCTTTTTTTTTTCCGCAGCTTCCTGTTGTGATTCGATTGTATCAATACGCTCAGACGTTTAACAGTTAAATTTGTTTTTCAAGTTGAGTCTATTAATCTTTGCGGGATGGCAAATACTCCTAAAAAAAGAACGTTCTTTCATTGGCTGGTGTTTAATAGCTTGATATATAAATATTACGTATTCATAAGGCGTGTTCGTGTGAAGAGGCCTGTTCTCTCCTAATTAGAAGAGCTATTGCTGACGGCTTTTTTTTTGACAGAAGTGATCGAAACTGACAACTCAAAAGGTAAAAACTCTCCGTTTTTAAACTTGTTTACACTTTTTGTCTTTTGAAGTGGTGAATGGAAATTTGACTTCTAGGCACTTCATTATGAGTTCCACCTGATATATTTTTTCCCAGGATGGCGGATACCAGCAAGTTTGGTGATTCAAAAGTCAAGACGATGGAGACTAGAGGTAAGAATGCTCCTCCGACCAAGGAAAGTAAGTGATAAATCGTTTTCTTTTACAATGCACAGTTAAGCTTTTTCGCTATCGTGAGGTAAAACAGCTGAATAGGCATCGTTGTAGGGCGTTGTCAACGCCGGAAGAAGTCGGGAGTATAAATCTCTTCATGCGCGGTCAACTCAACAAAATTGAGCTTATTTTCAATATTGAGATTCAAGCTCACATCATTCGATGATTGATCCAAACTCCTGTTAGTTTGTTAAAGGAGAAGAAACTCGTAAAAACATCGCAAATTAATTCAGTTTTGTTGAAAATTCTGTAAGGAAAGGTATGTCGAAAACGAAAATGACTGAAACAGACCACTTCCTTAAAATACAGACAGCCCCGAAGCTAGTAGGCGACCTCTGCTTTGTTTTCTTCGTCCAGTTTCCGTTTTAACAAGGATAGGATAGGATAGGATAGGATAGGATAACTTTATTTATATACCGTTTTTCCATCAGTTGATTTAGTTAATTATCCATACTAGTAAACCTATCTAACTACAATAATATTTAATAATAACAATTCAAATAAAAGAAGTAAATAAAATTTCTGCTTTTCATGGAGGCCGTGTCTAAAATTTACGGTACTTAAAATTGAGATCTTACTTTAAACTGTGGCGATTTAATTTAGATTTGAAATCAATCAGCGAAGACGCTTGTCTTGGGTCTACAGGTAAGTTGTTCTACAACTGAGCTCCGCTGTACAAAAACTTTTCTTGAGATAGTCAGTTCAAGGTTGAGGAAGAACTAATTTGTTTTCAGTATTCCTTGAACTATATGCACTTACACTGAGTCACGATATACAAATCTTGATCTCAGATAATCAAGTGTCATACCATGTAATGTTTTATACATTAGGATAGATTTCTGTTCCAGTCTTTGATGGTAAAGTCTTCGCCACCCTAGCGCCCGGAACAAATCATCTAAATTACTATCATAGCTTGCAGACATAAGGATGCGAGCTGCCCGATTTTACAGCCTTTGCAGTTTGCCACAACTTGATTTACTGATATTGGTCGATAGTTCGTCGGATCAGAGCACTTCCCAGATCTTTTATACAATGGGGTGACTCTGGCAGATTTCCACTCATCGGGAAAGATGCCAGTCATTAGGGATTGATTAAATATATGACTAAGAGATTCCGCTAGTACATCAGGACATTCCCTTAGAAGTTTCGCAGAAATATTATCTAATCCAGTCGCCTTTGACTTGCAGAGCCTTGAAAATAGTGCAAAAACATGTGTTAGTGTTGTTTTTTCAAAAACAAAATTTTTATCAGTTTCAGTAAGAGATTTATCGAAGGATTAATCAACTTCTGTCACGTCTCTATTAAGGCTTGGTCCAATTTCTGTGAAAAACGAGTTTAGCATTTCTGCTATTCCAGAATTTATTTCATTATTTTCCAACTCATTAATAACAGTCTTATTGGACTTTCGTGAGGTCAGTTCATTGATTGTTTTCCATGTTTTCCTTTGATCCCCACAACAATTGTCGAAGACATTTTCATGATAAGCTTTTTTCGCGCTATTAATTTCCCAGTTCATTTGATTTTTAACCATTCGAAATTGATTTCAAATAAATGGGTCTTTTGTCTTGATAGCCTTTCTTTTGAGGCGGTCTCCGAAATTCATTCGCTTTTTCATAATAGTGGTTATCCCTGGGGATTTAGAATCTCGTGTCCGTTTTGTCATCATCGGTGCATGCTTTTCCCACGCATTCAGGAATAACTCTTTCCACCTCTTCCACATATCATTAGGATCATACAATTGCCTTATGCTATCCCAAGGTTGGGCAAAGATATCCGCATAAAAATTTGCGCTATTAAGATGTTTAAACTGTCTATATGTTATCAAGTTATCTCCCATGGAGAAAGTGGGAATTGAAATTTTTCGATATGCATAAACTAGGTTTATTTCTAGGAGATGGGGTCAAAGGCTGTTTGTTTTACTGCTGAAACGGGATCATATTTGGGTGTAATGTTATAATCAGACATAAGCCAATCAAAAAGTTAGCCAATAATTTTTGATATTGCAGCGGCTTTTATTTTGGTCGTGTCACAATAAACTTTTCCTGATCTTCCCTAGACTCCTTAATATTCTAATGAATTCTCTTGATTAGCAGGCAATTTTTTATAGCCCCCCCTCCTCCCTTATACTCTGTTGGCGAGGATTGATTTACCCTCCTCCCCTCCGTTGCCTCGAAAGTTCATGTGCTCTCCCCCCCCAAAAAAAATCCTCTGACACTCCTTTACCTAGGAATAAATAATGGCCGTTCCTTAAGATCTCTCGTATTAGGTAATTACATTGAACTTCTCAATTCAAGCTGAAAATATCCCCTCCGCCTCCCCCGTCCCTTCTGCGGTTGATCATTATGAATACATACATCTGGATTTAGAAAAGAAGTCAGAAAACTTTACTTTTAATCTGAACGTTCTTCACTAAACAAAAAGAATTAACCCCCCCCTTCCCCCCCAACAATATAGATAATAATAAAAGCTACTTAAAAGGCCAAAATTCACTGCGTTTAGTGAAGTGTGCCGACAGACCTCTATGAAAAAAGGTCTTCTACACAAGTTGTGGGGTTCTTGAAGCCCCTGAAAGCGAATTTGTGTCTAACATTTGTCTCATTATGAAACAATCCCCATGCAACGTAATCTATTTTAGGAAGTAGCGTTACATAATGACTAAGAACACTTGAGTATCACAAACAGTACTTTAACCATTAACCCTAAGAGTGACCAGCATGTAATTTCTTCTCACAGTAATCATACAACTTAATCATTCCGAGAATAAAGGGAATGGTCACCAACCTTAGAAGCTAAGATTGTTAAACAAATTCTCCTGATCAGCAGCAAAGGAAATGTATAGAGAAGACTATAGATAATATAGATACTGATGTTAATAACATTCATTTTTTTATTGTGTTTGACTTAGCTATGAGCCAGGAGAAGCAGGTGGTGCCGCCACAGGGGATACCACCACAGGAGAAGCAGGGGATACCACCACAGGAGAAGCAGGGGATACCACCACAGGAGAAGCAGGGGATACCACCACAGGAGAAGCAGGGGATACCACCACAGGAGAAGCAGGGGATACCACCACAGGAGAAGCAGGGGATACCACCACAGGAGAAGCAGGGGATACCACCACAGGAGAAGCAGGGGATACCACCACAGGAGAAGCAGGGGATACCACCACAGGAGAAGCAGGGGATACCACCACAGGAGAAGCAAGTGGTGCCACCACAGGGGATACCACCACAGGGAAAGCAAGTGGTGCCACCACAGGGGATACCACCACAAGGGAAGCAAGTGTGGCCACAACAGGGGATACCACCACAAGGGAAGTAAACGATACCACCACAATGAGCCGACGATGTTTGGATAGTTGGCTGAATTTTTGTCTTTTTATGTTTTCGTCGGTTTACGTTGCTTAAAGCACATGTTCTTGTTGATAATTCTAGTTTAAATAACCTAAAATGTAGATCTAACGTAAACTAGAAGAGTAAACCACCGAGGTGTTGTTTCTTGTAAACCTCTTTGTAGTGTTGAAATGAATGTAACTCAGTGTCTTTGAAAGGCCTTTCTTTGATCGAAATAAAGCTTAAATACTACCTTAAATGGCGAGTTTCGTTGTCCATAGTGTACAATAATCCAAAATGTCGGCTAGAGCAGTTTTAAGAGGCTCAAGTTATGCAGGTAAAGCACGTAAGATTCGCTTACATATACCCCTTCCTCTCCCATCATGAATTATAGTAAGCCAGAAATTTTTTTCATTTGCCAAATCAGAGTCCCATCTCTGATTCAATTTATTTATTTCCGTTCCACAACTCGATCTCTCTCCGTTCCTCATGGTCTCTTAAGGCGACCCACATACGGCTGCGCAGCAGACCATCTCCTGCCAGCTAATCAAGGCTGGCTTAGCTTACCGAGATGGTGGCGTGGCTAGGGACTGGTCATTATTTATCGCCT